ATGTTCATCTCTGAGCTGTTGCTGGACACAAATGCATTGACCTACAAACCCTCTGAGGAGGATTTTCAGGTTAGTTTTCCAAATTGTTATGAACTGTTTTATTTTTCTTACCTGTTTAATACCCTTCTACAGTATACTCCTTGTTGATTCCTGCAGGAGGCTGTTGCAGAGATCATTCTGCGGTTTGAGAAAACAGTGATGTCAGTTGACACGCTTACAGCAGATCCTGATTTTGATTCAGTGACGGAGCCCACAGTGTACGAGGTAGTACATAAACCACCACCTCCGCCTGACAGCCCTGATGTGTATATTCAGATATTTAGTTGTTGTAAATGCTATTGAAGATATGTCAAAAATATGAAGGTACAGTACTGTGATTTTACTTGGTAGTTGGTCTGTGACATAGTCTATGTATGGGTCTTGATGTGTGTCTGTTAACGTTTAGAAATTGGAAAATAAATATGAGGATGGCCCTTGTGTGGAATCCATCATAGAAAATGATAGCCACCTTCAAAGTCTCATCCAAAATATCAAGGTCAGTTTTTATGTTTTATAGGTTTCTGTCTCTGTAGGTTGTATTTTGTCTGTACAGTACTGTGTGTCTATGGGCCTGACTTGTTTTCCTCCTTAGGAATCACTCCAGTTCGCCTTTGACACAGCAAAAGTGTACTCTCACACATTCGAGCGTTTTCGACTTTTCTACAAGGAGAATGAGAGCCTGGATGTGGATGCAGTGTGGCAGGATCAAGGTGATGTACTATACATCAGCGCAAATATTATTTTTGTAATTTCCACTCGTAACACAAAGAGTGGTTCTGTTGAGAATAGCGCTCATGTAAGTCTTTGTCCTTTTCTGTTAAGATTATGTATTGGAAAATGATTTGGGCACTTAAAAACAACAAAACAAGTACTGAACAAAGACATGAATTAAACCAGGTCTGTGCTTTGGGTGGGTGAATCACATACAGGATATTATCTATTCTATTATATTATATTCTCTTTTTTAAGTAATGACACCTCTCAGCTGCCTTGAAGGTACCCTATGTTTTCTAAAAAACAAAAAAAAGCTGTTTCTCACCAAAATGTATTGGGTGTGTCCTTGATATTTAACAAATGTGTTGAAGGCATTTCCTTCCTCATAATGCATTTACAAACCTGATGTTTTTAATATTTTAAATCCTGCATTGTTTACACCAATTGTTTGCTAGCACCCAGTATTCTTCTTCACTGCCTTTGTTGGCACATTGCTACATTTCTTGGTGTGGTACTGCCACCAATTGGCAGTCAGCAGAATAGCATAAAACCGGCAGCAGTAGGTTACACTGTGCACACACATGCATGCGTGTGTTCATAACAAAACTTGGACCCGGTTCATGAAAACATTGCTCCATACACTGCCATGAGTGTTCAATAACTCCACAGGGTACCTTTAAAGCCCATGCTGTTGTGTTTGTAACAACACTACAGCTAAAAAATACAGTCATTTTCCAAAGCATATCATAGGCTTGCAGATAGATATTTTTGTAATAGGAAAATCAACTTGCAGAGATATTATCTTTTTGTCAGGAGTAAGTTATAGTTGCATTATTGCATGATAATTCAGTTTAGAGCACACTTTGGAAACATTTAAGTCTTGTGAGAAGCTCTGACATGATGTGAGAGTAGATTGCCAACCTGCTTTGTATTCATAAGCAGTGCAGTCTACTATACAGTCCATCACAGTTGGGTTTACTTCACCTGGGACCGCTAATTGCATCTTCTAGTTATGCATGTTTCAGATCTTTCCATTTTTGCCAAAAGTGTAGGTATATGTAACTACTGATCTGGATTTATATAGGCCTTAATGATAAAACTGTTCTAGTTTTCTTCTGTATTTATTTACTTTTTTCATTCGCCATTCATCTTAATTAGTGCTATCAAGAGTTGTGTTGATTAAAATGATTACTATGACTGTTTTTTTTTTTTTTAGTTTACTTGTGAGCAGCTGGGAAACTTCTGGGGAAAGTGTTCAAAGAAATCAGAGGTTTAATGGCAGATGGGTTTTGGATGGAGGCAAAAAAGAAAAAACAAAAAGATAATCTTTTGTATATATATATAATTTCTTGTCACACTGACTGATTTGTTCAGGAAATGAACACAACAGTATACATTTGCTATTGGATGTAAATGTGTACACATTTATATGGCTATGTTTGCACCTCTGTGTTTACATTATGTCTTTTTTTTGTTATCTGTAAATACTTAGATGCTTAGATACTTAGATGGTTATTTTATGCTGATGGATGTTGACTGCTTCGTCTCCCAGGTTTGTCCTGTTTTGGAAAAGCACTGGAGTTATACCACAGTGAGCATAAGGAGGCCTTAGCTATCCAAGAGAAAAGACATCTCGGCTTACTGCTTGTGGACAAAACACAGCTTAAAGAGAAACTTGTGTCTTCCCCGCTCCGCTGTTTGGAGGTGAGGACTATTTATTTGCAATGCAATTTGACCATGACGAACAAAAGCTTTAAACATTAGTGCATTGAGGCCAATATGTGTTAATTAAAACTCACTGAAATGAACATCTAAGTAGGTCCAGAGCCTCAATGAGTGATGTATTTGTAAGAAAGATTTTATTAGACAGCCAAATATTGACACTACAGAATGATAAAGGCGTGTAGGAATCATTGCTCTGCTTCTGAATCTCCAGGTCATCAATGAGAGGCTTACTCAGCTGGCTAAGAGGAAGCTAGATGCAGTCATTGCAGAGGCTTGTGAAGCCCAGTTTAAACTAGAGTTCAGGCCCTCCACTACATCTGAGTTAGCCGACTCCCTCACATTCCTGGATGAGATACAGGAAAGGGTAAGATGTACATTTCATGTCGATAGCAGTTTCTTCCTATCTGACCCTATTCTACTGCACTCAATTCTCCCTCTTTCTTTCCTCCCTCTCACCAGATAACGGTGCTCGAAGAGGAGCAGGAGACAGTGTGTCAGATGTACAACCTGATTACCATGTACTCAGTTCCCACGCCTCCTGAGGATCTGGTTGTTTTCGCCACCTTGCAACCCACCATTAACTCGTTGCACAGTATCATCGATGAAGCTGAGGTTGAGAAGTCCTCCAGCATGAAGAAGTTCTGCAGCTCCCTGGACAAAGACATAAAGGCGCTGAACCACGAGGTCACGAAAACCCAGCTTAAGTCACAGGTACATAGAGAAACTGTATTCATTTTTGTATTACCGTAAGTAGTGCAGGTTAATTAAAATAAAAAGTGTCCTAGATTTTGTTTGCTTACAACATAAGAATACATCATTTGGAAGGCTGTTTTTCATGCCGAGCCTTGTTACTCCAGGTGTGTTTATGTCTTCGCTTTTTACTTGTTTGGCTTGTGGTTTTTTACGTGTAGGATCCACAAATCCTAGACATCAATTCAGATTCCTCTCAAGTGCGTCTGCTGCTGGGGGAGATCCAGATTTCCATAGACGAGCTGCAGGCCCAGGCCTCCGCCTACACCTCCTACCAGAAGAAATTCAAGGTACTGTAATTCTTTGCAGTATTTCTAAAATGATTCTAGTAAAAAAGCATTTTGAGTTGGCCATCAGGGTCCAAATCACAAAAGGCCATTTTTATTGAAACATTTCTCACAAACAAGCCAACCAACCCAACTTAAAATAGTTTCCTCCCTCTACCTTCTGATGAATAAAGGTGGAGGTGACCAAGTTTGACACCCTGGAGGAGTTAGTTTCAGAGTTTAGGCTGAAGCAGCTGCTGTGGGACTCTCTAGAGGAGTGGGAGTCCTTACAAGATGGATGGAGGCAGGTGAGGTAGCATATTGTATGCAAAGTCCTGAGCAAACATGCACTATCATGTACAGACATAATGTAAGCCGCTCTTCCCCTCTTTTAAACTTGACTGTGTCCTTCCATTTTCACCCATACCCAGAGCACATTTGTGCAGCTGGACCTGGAGCAGTTCAGCTCACAGGTTATCAAGTATGGAAAATATGTCAACCAGCTGGAGAAGGGTCTGCCACGTAACAATGTCCTGCCATGTCTTAAGGAAAAGGTGGAGGTCATGAAGCAGAGGGTGGGTAGGACAAAGTGCTCTGCAGTGACTGAAGTTATTGTGTGTAGTGTGCCTTCTGGTTGTGGGCTACAGCTTTGTGACTCTTTCTAAAACATATTCATGTGTTTTCCTTCAGCTGCCTGTGATCACTGATCTACGTAACCCATGTATGAAACCAGAGCACTGGAAGATTCTGGAGTCGGTTGCGAGGACCTCCCTGAATGTGGAGGAGCTCACTGTGGCGGATTTGGAGGAGATTAATATCTTCTCTTATGGCATGAAGATACAAGAGGTAACATATAACTATAGCTACATAATGAGCTTTTCTTGCTATACTTGTGATACCTTGGATACTACTGACTATTAAGTCGGTAAAATGTTAAGTATGTACTACCCCTTGTTCTTACATTATCTAACCTACTCAAACTGGTTATGCTTAATATGTTTAAGTCTGACCTGACTAAACAGGACTAACACAACCCTTGACTTTTTAGGTATCAGGACAGGCTTCAGGAGAGGCATCAGTCGAGGCTATTATTACAAAGGTGCGTTGAAAGGAAACTACCTATGAATATGTATACAGACATATCCATCTATATCTTCTGGAGAAACTGCTGTAGAAGTGTACTCAAAAAATTGCATGATTAGAAAACTNNNAGTTTTCTAATCATGCAATTTTTTATTTTGTTTTGCAAAGTTTATTATTTTTGTTATTATGTGTCCCCATAAGCCAATTTGATGACTCACACTGCGTTACATTTACGAGACGAGAACATTTACATCGTCACATACAGAGATTTCTGCTTTTATTAACACTTGCCAGGATGCTTCCTAGTATAGTATTGTTGCACAGCACAAAGTGAAGTGGGTGTGGTAACTTAGGTAGGTGTTTTTATGGCTAGTGGCTGATGATTGCAACATGGTTGCACTTGGAGTAATACATTATTAGTAGATATGATAGGGCCTGGCATTAATTATAGCCATTTAAAACCAGTCCCTCTGATCTACTGTAGATCTGACATAGCAGACTGACAGTTTTGAAATGAAAAGGAGAGCCCAGACCGGATAGTTGCAAAGAGTAAACTGATATAGGGCACCACAAATATGCATCCATAGATAGATTCATTTATTTTGTCTTTAAAAGAATAGTTTGACATTTTGGGGAACAGGCTTATTTGCTTTTTGGTAAAGAGTCAGATGAGAAGATTGATAGTACTCTCATATCTGTCTGTTAAATATGAACAGTCAGGAGACGGCTGTCTTATCTTAGCATAAAGACTGGAAGCAAGGGGAAACGGCTACCCTGGCTCTGTCCAGTGATAAAAGAAAATCTGCCCACCTTTTCTACAGATTAGTCATACAAGTTGTAGTTAGTGAGATGTTGGTTGGTGGATTGTTTGCCTTCAGATAAAACCAGGCTTATATGTGTATTTCCAAATAAGTATCCCTTTAAGCTGAATTTGTGTTTCTGGAGACATTGAAAGCCTGGTCACCATATGTTCTTTACATATGTGGTTTAAGGTTTCAGTTCAGAGTTTAATTTCCTGTCGAGCAACTAACTTTGGTGCTTAAGTGCTTTTCCCTTGCGCCACAATCGGCTCTAGCCAAGAGATAAGTGTAAACATTTGTTGTGAGCCCACGCTATTTAACCTCTGCCCTCTCATTGAGCTGTGCAGGTGGAGGACGCGTGGAAGACCACAGAGTTCACTGTGTTGTCTCATGGTGACTCCAAAGATGTCTTCATTTTGGGAGGCACAGATGATATCCAGGTGGTAACACTCACACACATGCTCTTACAAGACTAATTGTGTTTCATTTCATCTAATGGTGTGTGTTTGTGTTTCCACGTTCGTTTACTGTGAAGGTACTTCTGGATGACAGCATTATTAATGTGGGCACGGTGGCATCTTCTCGCTACGTAGCCCCCATCAAGCTCAGGGTGGACAAACTGCTGAGACAACTGACCCTCTTCAACCAAACACTGGTAAAGGCTAAGAAGAGAATGGCATCGAGTTATCTTTTATTTGACTCAAAGGGACTCTTCTCTATACAACAAAGGCTTTGCTACATGCTAAATGCCGATTTCTTTTTATTGATTTTACACAGTAGCTCTCCCTAGAGGCTACAAACAAGAACCCAAATTATTTGCAAAATAAATTATTCTTTATAATGTTTATTGAGTTCTATATTTCAGTTTATGTAAGGAAAGACTAACTGTAGCACACATAAAACCACATTTTATTCATGTTATTGATTTCCTTTACTTCTTTAATTCTCCTTCTGCTCACATTTTCCCCGACTGTTTTCCCTCACCCTCCGTCTCTTTTTTCTCCCTCACCTCTCTCTACCCTCCTTTGCAGGATGAGTGGCTTACGTGCCAAAGGAACTGGCTATATCTAGAGAGTATCTTCTTGGCCCCAGACATCAAGAGGCAGCTGCCTGCTGAGTCCAAGATGTTTCTTAAGGTGGACAAGTCCTGGAAGGAGATCATGGCAAAGGTCAATAAGAGGCCAAATGCCCTTAAAGCAGCCACACAGCCTGGTAGGTAGACATACAGTGTTTATGAAAAAATAATGTGTGTACACACACACATGCACTCACTCACATTTTGTTTGACACAGATTTGTTGGAGACTTTTCAGCAAAACAACGCTCTTTTGGATGAGATACAGAAGTGTCTGGAAGCCTACCTGGAGTCCAAGAGAGTCATCTTCCCCAGGTACACATGTTTGATTTGATACATTATACAACAGACTTTTATTATACTATATCTTCTTTTTTATCATCCTAAACTTTTTGTTCTTTTTTTCTTGGTTAGTAGTTTTCCCTGTGCACAAACTAGATTTAAAAAGTAAGACTATAATATACATAGTATGTCGCTTTGCAATTTCCCCCTTGACAGGTCACCAATTGTCACTCTAAACCTTTTTTCCCTGTGAGCACTGAGTGATAAACACTATGGTGTGGATGCTGATGTGTACTCTGATATTGGTTCTTTATCTGTCCCTCACAGGTTCTACTTCTTATCCAATGATGAGCTGCTAAAGATCTTGGCCCAGACAAGAAACCCCCAGGCTGTTCAGCCCCACCTCAGGAAGTGTTTTGA